TAAGCAACTTGGATTGCTGATAAGCAAAATTTTGTTTCAAGTATATTGAATAAAATATTAAATCTTCAAAAAATAATGTATATGAATCTATATTTCAAATAGACTTCTTTATCATTTTAAATTGTCTTCTTGTCTCAGGTCTGATCAGGTTGTTATTGTTTCAATATCGAATGTAATGTGATTGATGAACTAATTAATATGTTATTTCTTGGAGTAAATGGTTATCAGTTATGTCATTTTCTTGTGATTCATTTGAAATCAGTATTATTCTTGATTTGACTTTTATGGCAGAATATTTTAAAAATGTCCATGCTTTGAGGATTTAGTTAAAACCTGATAATAGAAACTATAAGACCACTTACTTGGGAAAACATAAACTATAATGTATTTATTATATAATAGTTGAGGTAGGGTGCCTGTCATTCTACCATGTGTAACTCCCACTCTTTTTTTCAGGATGCCTCAGTGTCTTGTGAGTTGTAACTGACATTGGCCTAAGCAGAGGTGCCAGTGCCAATTCTTACATTAAATTTCAGTAAAATTCATTTTCCCATTTTACTTAAGGTACATATAAATAAAATACCTAATATTTTGTTTCCATAACACCAAAAATATCATCTTCAAGGTGAACTACTCTAGGGTATTTTTCAAAACCTCATTGTTCTAGTCTTTGGAAAAATAGGTTTGGAAAAGTCCAGATGAAAGATGGCTGCTAAACTCCTAGCCAAGAACTCTTAAAAGAGAAGAGTTCTGGTAGGCTCTTAAAAATGAGATAAGATCTTTAAAAGGCTACGCTTACAATATATTTGAGACTTAAAAATGAGATCTGATCAGATCTTTAAAAGGCTATGTTTACAATATATTAACAGGAGTCATTTTAATTAAAATATATTTACATATGCATATTTTGTTCTGTGAGAAAGCATAGGATAGACACTGAAATGTTAAGGGATTTTACTTTTTGCTTCTATTTCCAATTTTCTACAATAAACATGAACTATTTATATAATAAAGGTGTAAGCCATGCTAAAGTACACATACACAGTTGGAAGGTGATAAAATCAACTAAAGAATAGACTAAATCTTTAAGAATAACAGGATAAATCCAGAAGCTTTTATGAGCCCCAAAAAGCTTACAGAAAGTATCAAAGACACTCAAAGACATGTCTAAAGCTAAATTCAGAGCGAGAATGAAGAGATCTATCCTTGTAATGGAAAGAAAGCGAAGATAAGGTAAAAAGAGAAAGTGCATCTAGTTGTAATACCTTGCAATTTCATGTCTTGGGCTCATTTCATGTTGTCTAAAGAAAGAAAGTTGTCAGTAAAATTAGAGAAAACATAAAAAACTACAAAAACTTCAGAACACTTGAGATGGTTATGCGTCTTGACTTTCAAAAAAGGTGGCAAATTCCAGAAAGTACAATCTCAGAGTATGACTGCCCAGTAAAATTCCAGAATGATTGAGCATAGTGATTCTCAATCCTACCAGGCTCAAGCCCTCTAATATTTTAAACATCTTACAATATTCCCTTTACTATCCGGAAATAAAATTCAAAGATAATGATCTCTTCTCCAATGAAAAAAATTAATAGAATGCCTTCACTGCTATATAAAAAGATAAATTAAAGGAATTTATAATGTTTTTTAATAAAGACATTGGTGGGCCATGACCATGCCATAGACATAATAGTGATATGCTTGCCTCTATTTAAAATGAATCAGTTGTAATTAAGCTACACACTGACATTTTGAAAATGGGCTTAATAAATATGTGTGTATATATACATGCAATCATGAATGCAATAGTTACACATACAGATGATACAGGTTGAGTATCCCTAATCACCAAATCCAAAATCCAAAATGCTCCAAAATCCAAAACTTTTTGAGTACTGACATGACGCTCAAAGGAAATGTTCACTGGAGCATTTTGGATTTCAGATTAGGGACACTCAACCCGTACATATAGTGCAAATATTCCAACAGACAAAAAATCTGAAATCCAAAACATCTCTAGCCCAACCATTTCAAATAAGAGATAGTCAATCTGTACAAGTGGTAACCACATACCACAAGCCGAGTTGCTGACATGAATTTTCACAGTGATGAAGAACTCTCAGTAAAATTCTGAACAAAGAAAAGTACAGTTTTCCCTCTCCTTCCTTACACGGTAGCTGCATTACTGGAATCAGTGTATACTAAAAGTAAGCCCCAGACAGTTTGTGTTGAGAGGCCAATCACAGTTCAGTTGTAGGTTTAATCACGAACATGTTTTACTGCTACATCAATGTCCAGTGGAAGATCTAACAGTCATTCAGGTTGCAGAGTTAAGTCTTTACTGTGCAGGATTGGCCTGAGTATAGCAGCACGATGTTTAGTATCCCTGGTCTTTGCCTTTCACATCACTGCAATTTAGGATTACACCTCTCTATTTTTGTATTAAACAAAAAATTCCCCCACGAGTTTCCAAAAATGCCTCTAGATGGCAATAGTATCCCTGTTGTGAATTATCGATCCCTTTGCATAGGATATACCACAATGTACTTGCAACAGTGCCTTGTACATTAGAACAGAAAACATCTTCTTAGAGTTCTGTTTATGATCGCCTTATCTTAGAAGGTAAAGAAAACAGGGACCAGAATGATCTCAATTTACAAGAGCTGTATTGAATATGTTTAGGTTTAAATATTGCAAAACACATTTAAAATATAAATTAGCATTGGTCATCACAACCTGACCAGAGTACTTCATTTCACCTGGCTAAATATTTAAAGCAGAAAAGCTAATAATAAAGAGGCCGCTACTTCTCTGGAGAGGGCTTAGAATATGAGCCAAGGATAGGTTCCTGCTTTTCCTGTAAAAACCTTGTGGGAAATGGGAAGCTTGCTTTGATAGAAAGAATGAGAATGGGAGAAGTGAACTATGAAAGATCTGGGTTCAGCTTCCAGACAGGCATTCCAAGTGGCACAGTAGATGATGCCTTAAGATTCTACCTCTGACCCCATATTCTCCACTCAACAGGTCAGGAAGAGTTGTAACCACGCATCTAGGAACAGAGTGCTTTTTTATGGTATTCTGCCCTAGAATTAAGAATGGAAGAAAGGACTGCATTGGAGTCGAAGGTGCCTCGCTTCGTGTTGAGAACACACAATAAATAGGCCTATTTCTTTTTTGAAGTTTGTATAGAGTTTTCAATTGAATCCAACCAACTATATGGGTGATTATATAAAATTCCTGATAAACGTACCCCTTAGCTAACCTGAGAGCCATTCTGCAGCAATGTTCACAAAACACTTTCATTATTTACTCCTTCAAATCATTTCAATATTAACGGGAAAAAAAATCATGATGAACAAAAATAAAATTTTGAATAAAGGCAGGGCCTGATGCAAAAAGAAAAATGGGTAATACTGATGCCGTATTTATTAAAATTTTTATATTTTGTTCATTACGGATTTTTTGCATAATTTTTTTTAAAAGATTGCATTGAAAAACTGTTTATCTTGATTACTGAGCTTTTGGGCGCCCCCTTAAATTTTGTGCAGTGCTAAATGCCTCGTTACTCTCAGCCCTGGTCTTTAATAGTTCTCAAGAATAAATAGAACCTCTTTTCACTGATAGATAGCAGAGTACTAAGAGGCTCCAAAGCTTCCATATGTGTACTTCTCATAAGCATACGACTTCGACAAAAATGTAAGCAACTTAACTAGTTACAGCAGAGTGCCTAATGGCATCTCTCTCAATCCTGAGAGATCAACCACTTTTTTTCTGGGCCAGGCGCGAAGTGCGCGGAGGTGTAAATCGTACTGCAACAGAGAAATTTAGAGAAAGAGACCAGGGCGGTCTCCCTGCAGCAGACTAGTCACGTATAGGCCTTCTTGGCCCTAAGTAAACAGAGCTTGCTAGATTGAGAAACTAAATTCTGGAAGGTTAAGAAACAAATTCATCACCCATAGACCTGGCTGTTGGGCCTGCAATCGCCCCCCTCCCAGCCACTCCCTTTTCTAGGAAGCTGACGGGGAGCTCGGAGAGGCAGGCACCGTGGCCCGCTTTACGCACCCTGCTCTCGGGGAATCCGCACCAGGCAGTCCACCATGCCTTTGTACTGCGCCTCGGGGCTGATCTGCTTGGAAGAGGCCTGCACCTGCAGCAGCAGCTTCACCCGCTCGATGGGCGCCACCGCCGTCTTGGACACAGCCGCCGCGACCCCGCCTGCCAGCAGGTCCTTCCCGAAGGACGAGGCATCAAACAGCCGCTTTTCGGCCCACTTCTCTGGCTTCTTTTTCGCAGGCTCACGCTGCATGATGGGGTGATGGACGTAAAAACTGGCAGCGGCGACTCAAATCGAGGGCGGAGGCTACGAAGAAGGGAAGGAAAACCGATTCGGCGTCGTCCTGGCGGGAAAGCAGCGCTCAGGATGATGGGAGATACGCACGCAGGGCGGGGCCCGCGAAAAGCTGCGCAGGCGCCTCCAACCGCCTCCCGCAACCCGGCGCCTGACACGTGACTCCCAACACGTGCCTCGCCCCCCGCGCTCGGTGCCGCCTCTTCACGTCTAAGCCCCCCCCCGCTCTGCTTGGAGGGTAGGGTTTGGAGGCAGTGGGTTCGAGGCGGGAGAGGCACAGGAAGGGATCCAGGAGAGCCAGTTCTGTTTTAGGAAATCTAGCAGTCGAAACTAGGGCAGAGCAGTAGGCCAAGAGTGTGAAATTATACGAATTTTAGGTCTCAGGGTTATCCCCTTTACTTTCATCGTAGAAATTGCTTTACTCTGTTCCTTTAAGTAGGGATCGTTTGTAAGTCACTTTCTCATTCTTTCCTGTTGCACCCCTCATAGCATAATTCAAGATGTTCCTCTTTTCCATATCATATTTAAATGGATAATTCTACCTAGAGCAGTGGTTCTGGGTCCAGACTGCACAAAGGGGATGGGGGGGGTCTTTTGTTTTTTTTTTAATTTATTGTTGGAATTAGGCCCTGACGAGTAAATTAGAACCTCTGGAAGTGGGAGCGTCGGTATTTAAATTCCCTGGACAACTCCAGTGTGCAGAGTTGAGAACCAATGACCTATTTTAGAAGAGTAGTTCACAAACTTTTAGATTGCAGGATCCCTTTTTTTACTCTTAAAAATTATTGAAGACACAGCGAAACTTCTGTTTTTGTTGTATTGACATTTGCCATATCAAAAATTAGAACAAAATTTAAAAATATGTAGTAATCCATTTAGAATAACAAATCCATTATAGGAAACATAAATAACACTTTTAAATAAAAAAATACATTTTCAAAACAAAAATGTAGTGAGAAAAATAGCATTATTTTATATTTTTGAAACTCTAATGTCTGGCTTAATAAAAGTTGGATTCACATCACTGCTTTTGCATGCTGTCTGTTACAATATCACACGTTAGCCATTCGAAAACTCTACTGTCCATTCAGGACAGAATTAAAGTGAAAAAGGCAAATAATGTGTTGCTATTAATAGTTTTGACCTCATGGAGCCCCTGAAAGAGTCTCAGTCACAGGGAGAAGTCCCCCATACCACACCTTGAGAACTTTTTTTTATGAGCAAAAATCTGAAAAATTAAAAGTTTCAGTCTCCTTTAAAGGAATTTGAAGCATTAATCGGCACATAGGGAGAAAGTGAAGCGGGAAATTACCTGAATCACACTCCAGGTAAGACTTTCTTTTTTAAGATGTCAAAGAAGGTTAAGGTCAAAGGAACCATGTCTGGTCAAAGGGTACATAAGTATCTCAGAGGACAGAAAAGGAAGTGTTCTGCTGCTCCTAGGGCAATTTTCTCTTCTCCCACTCTCTCCCCTTCAGACATTTGAACTGAGTTGACAATGTTTATCACATATTCCTTTATGATATCAAGTTTGTTTCTGACATGTATTTATTGATAGAAGACAGACAAAACTGAAAGCAACTACTTACAAATGTAGCTTTTTTTACCTTATTAATAAGCACTGAATCAATTCTTTTCAACAGATTGGAGCTGAAAATGTTTAATTTGTTGTAATGATTTTATTTACTGATTTAGGGAAGGAAAAAAGTTCTAGTGACTTATGTTTACATTAAAAGTATAGAATCTTAGAACCTTTGTACTGTTCTCTCTGCTCTCCTTAGAAATCAGCATGGTTAGTTTCCTCACTTTCTTTGGGTCTGGGGTCACCTGAGCAAACTTTCCTAGCCACCCCATCTGCGTGTTACATATCTCTTTTTCTTGCTTCAGTATTTTCACTCTCAGCATTTATCAACATATTTTACTTACTTCTCTGTGGTCTGCCTCTCCCATTGGAACATAAACTGCATGAGGGTAGAGATGATTTTTAAGCTGTTTTGTTATTGCTATATTCCCAGCATCCAGAACAGTACTCAGCACAGGGTAGAAATTCAGTAAGTATTTATTGGATGACAGCATCGAAAGGCAACACAATTGCAAACAAACCTCCAGACCATTTTTATTTAAAACTATCAATATAATATAAAAATAGCTTTAGTTACATAGAATATAGAAATACAACTCTGCAAATTAAATTATTTCATACAGTTTGATGTATCGATTAAAGTTTCAATAACATTTAAAGATCCAAAGTATAAATCCTTGTTCTCAAAACTGTTTATTGATGAATTTTTCTCAGCTTCTGTCCAACATTTTGTACAGTAGGAGGTATGATTTAACTGACTCCTTGGTTTTCAACCAATAGATATTTAATAATAATAATAAATGATAGTAGTAGTAGCTAACATTTTTATAGCACATAATATGTGCCAGGCACTATTTAGAAAGAATTAACACATACAACAAATAATGTTCAAAGCAGAAAAACCTAGTAAATTGGTTTCATAGCTTTGCCCATTTGTATTAGAAATATAAAAAAAAGCAGGCACTGCAAAATTACTATCTGGCCATTATGCATCGTCATCAATAGTCCCTTGGCACAAATAAGAAACATTCCCTTCCTAAGTACAGTTCTCTGGCATGACAAAAACAAACAAAAAGCTAAAGAAAGGGGAGAGAGGGAGAGTAAAAGAGAGAGAAGGAGGGAGAAAGAAAGTGAGAGAGAATCTAAAATATCATTTCGGGGGGCTAAAAAACAGATGATAAGACAGTATTTGTTATTCTTTAAATGCCAGTTACATAGTTTTTCACATTAATAGTCTTTGGTGGAAGGATACATTTGCGTGATACTAATAAATCTGACTTATTGTTTCTATATCTGCTAAAGTATACCTCTGGGGTGTCTGCACTGTCACCTTGTTCCCCTTTATTTAATAAAGTCATAGGCACATTATTATCCAATTATCAGACTGACCTACTTTCAGATGTGACTCTGAACATATTTGGAAAAATAGGCAGCTAAGTTTACCTATAATGCTTATTACTTCAATATCTATTTAGAGATCAAAAACAAGATAATGTTTGGTTTTATTTCTTAAAAATGCAGTGCTTCTGTAACATTGAAATTATATTGCACATCTACAATATAGCAAATGATTTTCCTTTTATTAACATCAGCAGTATGCTTTGCCTTTTATTTCAGTTATTGAGAGATGGTCTCCTGATTCTTTGACATCAGGAAAGCAATTCAACAGATCAAAATTTCATTAGATGAAACAAAAAAAGTCCCCAATGTTAAAAGCCCAAGCCTTAGTTCAGTCTGTCCGAAAACCTGAAATGATCAATAACTGCATTTATTAATAATTATCAGTTTTAGAAATAGCTTGTGATGTTTTGAGGGACATATCCAGAAATTTAAGACATTTAATAAATACTTTTAAACAAAGTGCCTTAATACATACATGTACACAAGCCATCCTCAGATAGTAGTTAAGAGTCTACCATTTGACTCAATATTGTGATTTTTAAGGGAAGGATATTTCAAGCTATTTCTACAACATTCAAAGGTTTATTACCCTAATGTGAATACCAAAGTTAAGGTCCACTAGTCACTAATGGGACAAATATGCTGTGGTTTATGTCTTAAATGCCTAGATGAAAATCTCTTAAAATAATGACAGAGTGATAATGTGTTTCAAGACCAAATGACTCAAATGGTGTTTCAAGACCAAATGACTCAAATGGTGTCCCGGCTGTGTTTTGCAGTTTAGTTCTGAGTGAGCTGGCGCTCACATTTGAGGCAAGGAAATGCAGAGACTGATTTTAGATGTGCTGGTATAACTTATCTTCCAAAGCTTAAGTCCTAAAGAGGAAACAGCCCAGTGTTGTAAAGTGCTGGGGGCAATGAACCTCCAGGAAGATCAACTGGGTAAATGTCAATTAAAAATGTGGTATTTAAAATAGAAAGAAATTAGCTGGACAACTAAAAATATACATAGAAAAAATTAGCCGGGCATGGTGGCTACATGCTGGCATGTAGTCCCAGCTATTCTGGAGGCTGAGGCAGTAGGATCGCTTGAGCCCAGGAGTTTGAGGTTGCTGTGAGCTAGGCTAACGCCACGGCACTCACTCTAGCCAGGGCCACAGAGTTAGACTCTGTCTCAAAAAAAAAAAAGAAAAAAAATGCGGTATTTATGTTTTTCCTTTCTCTAAATTTACCAAATTCTCTCAGCCAAAGATAATTCTCATACCATTACTTTTCTTTTCCTACTAGAGGTCAAGTAAACTATTGTTCACTAAAGTGTTCCCCCTTTGGGAAAACCTGATGCATAATGATCCACATTTGTAAGACAAAAATTTGTATTTTACAAAAGAAGTCACCATAGGATTTCTTTAGCCAACACAATTCAGTGTTTTTTAACATGATTTAGTTTTAAAAAAAAATTTACATACAACTTTCCTTAAATTCATGAACTGTATAAAATGTAAATGTAGTATACCTGAATATATTTTAACAAAAAAAGAACAATGACAGTTTACAGACAAATAGTCTTAAAAATATATCCTAGTCAAAACTGAGCCTACCTGAAAGAGTAAACAGAATCAAATAAATAAAAAATAAGTTTAATTCTGATTTTTTCTCTCTTTTCCCACAGTGAGGTATGTACTAAAATACTTAAACTAATGAAAAGGTTCTGATAAGGAATCAGTACTTGGACATTACAAATTTAGGTACGGACCAATATGCAAGAGAGAAAAAAAGCAGTACATTTTACTTTTATTCAAGAGGGACTTTTAAAACCTAAATGCTATCATCTCATTTGTACATGAAAACTCTGAGTTCAGAGAGGTATAAAACTTGCTCATGGTCACAGCACTAATTAGTGACAGAACCTGGTCACCTCCTTCCAATTTCATGATTCCTTCACCAGATATCAATGTTAGTTTTGAGAAAAATAAACAGTAAATTGGGTATTTTTCCAAAATAAACATTTCCTATATTAATTTTATATAAAACACTTCACATTATTTCAAACTAGTCAATAAATTAACATTATATAGCAAAATAGCAATAAGTTAAGAATCCCCTCC